CCCCCCCCCCCCCCCCTTCAAGACAGACTCGCTGGGTTAACTATTACTTTTTCATAATGGAAAAGAGATTATTTTGGTTGTTTATTGTTTCCTAAGCACTGAAAAAAAAAAATCTGTTTCCTTCAGTTTCTATTTTCTTCAGGTAGAATATTACACATTTGTTTGGTGACCTCCAGAAAGCATTGTGTTGCTATGATTTCCTCATATAATGGAGGAAACCGGTAAAATGCAATAAAAGTGTGTGATTCAGTTGAGATGAAAACACAACAGTGAAGACAATCTTACCTTAGCTGCCTTTTCTTGTATATTGAATTAATTGCCCCTTGGTAGTTTAAGAAGCTATTTTAACACTGACCTTCCTTCTATTGTTTGATTCAAGACACTCACTTTCATAAAACTAGCTATTTATGGGACCTGGCTATCATTCTTGAACTGATGCCAAATTTTTGTGTAAAGCTAAACCTTGACAGAGAGCATTTTATTGTTCAACTGACTTGGCATAATACAAGGGTGGAGAGCCTAAAATGTTAAGAAGTGACAGGAGAAGAAGGGTAATTGTTAGCATGCTTTTTCCAAAAGTTATTGCAACAACAATATTGGTGGAAAAGAAAGGATAATCTAATGCTAGGATTAAAGTAAAAAATACAAAGACTTTAAGTGGTGCAAAGTACAGTTTCTTAGCAGCTCTATCACCATGTCTGCTAGATGCTTCTCTTTTTAAGTTGAAAATGTCTGCATATCTGACTCCAACACGTGCTACAGTCTTCTCTATTCTGAGAAGCTGGACACCTAGCTGCAACCTAAGCTCCCAAAGTCCTTGAGGCTCATAGACATCGAGTGCATGGAGGGCAGGATAGATTCCTCACAAAACTATACCATGAAGGTCTAAAGCAGAAACCATCCCAATCTTAGAGTCAAACATAAGCCTACCATCTCATAAGGCAGCACTATTCTAGCTTAGTACCAGCCATCCTGAGAATAAAAGAAAATCCAACAGGCTACATTGCCATCCAGTCTCCAAACTCCCAGGTTTATTTCTTTTTCCTCAGTAGGTGTTTGGTGTCTCAATAACTGTATCAAGGCATCTTTACTGTATAAAGCTTAAGATGCTATGTGCTTGGTTTTAACATCTTGTTTAAGACCAAGTATTGCAGCTTGTATCTCTTCAGTAGATGTTTGGTGTCTCAATAACTGTATGAAGGCATCTTTACTGTATAGAGCTTAAGATGCTATGTGCTTGGTTTTAATGTCTTGTTTAAGACCAAGTATTGCAGCTTGTAAGTACTTGAATCCAGCATTTGTTTTGGCCGTCAATCAAGTGAACAGATATTACTAAGTAATACTTAGATTTCACAACGACATTAACATCTTGTAAAACTTTGAACTAGATTCTTTTAACCTAATGTCCATGGGGATTATTGCTGCTGGTTTTCAGCTTTTTTCAGTTTGTAGAACCCTAAATATTTTCCAGGAGGAGGAGTACATTCTGTTGGAGACTTCACATGCAGAGCGCAGCGTGTATGAGTTGGCCTTTTAGTCAATTCTTGTGAAATCTGTAAGCTATCCTACAGAACCCAGGATCTGTGGACCATGTTCCAAAAACCATTTTCTCTTTAGAGAAACTGTTCTGTCTTAGGAGAACATTTTTGTATGTTCTTCAGTAACCTCAATGACTTTGAGAGAATTACGTTTATAATTAATCCCTCAGTCAGCAAAGAGTAGAGTTTCTGTTGCCAATGTGTCTGAGTTAATACCAATTCTTATGTAAGTGTTCCCCAACTTGAGCTTTTTCTGCTCGAGAACTAGTAAGAGTTCTTTGCCTGCTTCTCCTCTTGGAATGAAGGTGGATGCTACTCCATTTCTGATTTGAACCCTGAGTAATGGAATCCCCAGTTTCCAGGGATGTTTCATGCTGCTGAATTGTTCAGTTTTCTAATACTTTGGTGTGAAAAGAGTTACAAGTCAAAGCTTAAGCACAGAACACTTCAGCATCCTGTAAAGTTGTACATAAATACCTATGTTGAAATCCAGAAAACCAATGGTCAATGTTGTTTTATTGGAACAAAAATTAGACAACCTGAGTTCAGTGCTTCTGAGGGAGACTGATCTTGAGGGCTTCAGCTTCCTGTTGGTGAAGCCATAATTCAGATGAAGCAGCAATAGATTTGGTAGAACTTGTGCTCATTAAAGAATCGGAGAGAAAACAGGACACTTCCAACATGCAAGTGACCTACACTTTATATTGCAGGCCTGAATGTTGTATCTCATTTCAGCATGGTTCCTTTCAGTTCAGAAACTCAAGAGCATGGTATGAAAAGAAGTTTGCCATAGCACCATGCCATCTTTCTGACTTTTTAGCTGACTTTTAATTCATTCTTCCAGGGTATCTGTGTCAGAGGAGATGTGTGGGTATAGATGAAGGTGGCTTTGTTGTGAAGCGTTAGCAGAGGAAGGGGCTAAAGGTCTAGTTTTTGGTGGAGGGAAAATGCAAGCTTTTCTTTTCAAGACAAGACAAAGCTTAGGTGCTTAGAACAATGCCATATGCTTTCTTTAAAGCTTATGGTATCTTTAATAGCTGCGAAGTAGATACTGAGGAGTACTGTAAGCAGCTGCAGTTGATCCTTCTGCTCCATAGCTGCGCTATGTAAGCTAATGAATGTTCAGATCTTTATGTGTTCCTAGCTATGACTGTAGTAGTTATCTTCATATCTCTGCTGTTTAATGTATTAAGCCTTTTTTCACTTCTTTCAATAACTGTTAATTACAATTTGTTCTTTCTTCCTTTTCTAGGATTCAACCAGTGTTGTTGCTGCTCTCTTTATAGAAATCAAAAGTTCCTTGCTTGCTCACCTACCAATTGAATTCCATACCCGAGACAACTTTTTGATGATTGCACTTTTCCCCAAAACAAAGATTTATAAAGCTTTTTATTCACAGGTATAGTAAAAAAAGATTGATTTGGGTGAGGGGAAAACCACACAATTATTCTATGTGTTGCAGATGAGAGGCAAGGGTGAATTTGTTGATGTCTGTCTTAAACCACCTTTTTCTTAATTTAATTAGTTATTTCTCATATTAGTTGAACCCCTAAAGCTGGTCAACTGATAATTAAATACAGGAAAGGTTAAAGTTCAAGTCTTTCTTCCATCAGTCTTCACAAGTGAAACCTTTTCCTTTATCTCTGTGAACAAGCACAGTTTAGAAAGGAGAAGGGGCAGTTAATCCTGAGGGAGCTTGATGTTAGGAAATACATTGAAAACCTCCTCTCTGAAGCTGGATGAGATTCACACAGGATCTTGAGAGAGATGGCTGATGTGATTTTGAGGCTGCTTATTTTTTACATAAAATCGGGATGTTGCAATAGGAAGAACTGTTGCAGATAACTTTTTCAATAGTGGCAGGTAACGTAACAAGGGGCAGTAATGATAGATTGCAGCTTTGAAGATTCAGACTGAATGTTAGTAGGAGGTTGGTGCAGTGACTGGAACAGGTCACCCAGACAGTGAACTTCCACCTTCGAAGATTTTTGAAAACTTGGCTGGACAAAGTCATGGCTGAGCTGATCTGTACTGCTAGCAATTGTCCTGGTTTGTGCAGGAGGTAGGTCTGGAGACCTCCAGAGGCTCTCTTCCAACCAGAAACTCTGATTCTCTGTATGACCTATGGCATCTGCCTTGCAGACTTGAGATTGTCATGGCGTGGACTGCCCTGCCATGTAGACCTTCCCAGGAGCATTATTGCTCCTGATCTTAGGAACTTGCATGTGTGAGAAACTTTAACTTATGTATGCGTTTCTTGTGATTGTGTTGCTTAAGTTTAATGCTTACCATGTGCTTTCATTTTGTCTTCTGAAGCCAGTGAGTGCTCTAAAAACTTGTTTTCTAGTAGTTGCATTTCCAATGTAGCACTGGTGTATAATTGGCTACAGCAATTGTATGTAGTGGCAGAGGATCTATTGTGGTGGGGGTTTGTGGTTAGACACATTTGGATATCATGATCCTTAGGGAAGTTCTGTTGAAGTCTTTAAGTATCCCATATGGCATTGTATTATTCTCTAGGGTAGATTGGCTTCATGCATTGTAATGCAGAGGCTTTTAATAAACAAAACTTTATAACAATAGCGCTTTTGAGGAAATGAGCCTGGAGATTTTAGGACTTCACAAGGGTTTTAGTATGTGATCATAACACTGGACTGGAAAAGACCACCTAGGTCAGTGAGCAGTCCCCACTGGTAGTATTAACGTTACCATAAAATTTGTCCTCCTATCTTAAATGTTTAGATTTCTCCCACGGTTCCACTGTGTGAGTGGTTGGGAATATTCGGTTTGTTTGGTTTTGAATTTTCAGCCTATTTTATTAGGTCTAATTTTGTATCTGGTTTTTTGTTTTGCTCTACCAGCAGACATCTTTGAGGTATTCAGAAATTTCGTACCTATTCGTTCTGGCTTACTTGACTTAATAAAATAAAACCAGATCCTTTTTAATCTAGGCTTAGAAAAAATTCTCTTTTCCTCTAATCATTGTGATAATTGATCATTTGTGGTTAGAAAGTGGTCAAGCGGAAAAAG